ACCCAGGCGCCCAATACAGGATTGTTAAAAGCAAATAAATGATCATGTCAAACAAAGAGGATTGGAATCCTAACTCTACTGTTTACTAGCTTTGTGACCTGAGACATGTTACTTAACTTCTGTGTGCCTAAGTTTCATAACCTGTAAAATAGGGAAATAATAATACACATCTTGGAAATAATGTATAATTATACTAGCTAGATCTACCCTCATGTGACATGTCTGCTGCTGTTGATTTCCTGTCTCTGCAATGCAGTTTTTGAGCTTTATTTCTAATAATGTAAGTACAAAATACTTGGCATCCTGTAGTCTAGTAATGCCACTTGTTTGACATTTGGCAAATTGAAAGTAATTCAGAAAATCCTAATGGTCTAGAACCTGTGGCTAGCAGATTTGTTATGATTAGTTTCACAGCACATTGGTGATGAGATTTATTAACTTGGAAATTCCTCAAGACATGGAAGAAAAGGAGGAGAAAAGCCTAAAAGTAAATTATTCTGGCATCAAGCTAATGATTTAACAACAAAATTTGTTAAATTTGCTTGGTCCTATAGTCTCTGCTTTGCTACAGAAGCAATAATCTACAGAGTATCCTGAATAATTTATGTCGGGGGGTAGGGGGAAGCAACATCTATGAGCAGAAACCCAGGTATTTAAGAGACCATCAAAGATCCTTGTGATTCTCAGATCTCCTGCTGCCTTAATTTCAGCTACTATTCTACATTGGGATGTTGATATTACCGATGATAAAGCTGGTGATCCTAGTTCTAGGAGCTAAAGATGCTCTCAGGTTGAATTATCTGATTGGTAGCATGGCTATAGAGTGGATAGCAGTTTTAAGTGAACATTTAAAAACACGTTTTTACCAATGCAGTAATTTATTTAAATTTAATTCAGTGAAAAATTTTTATTAAGGTAATACCAGCCTATTAATAAATGAAGAGTTACGCTTTTTGAAATGTCATGCTCTAATGGTGTAGGGAAGTGAAAAATTACTCATCTATTTAAAATGGGCGTTTTTTTTTTTAACCCATTGGTGATTGGGTCAAGGAAGAACTTTAGGGAAGTGAGTAAAAGAATGGCTTAGCAGCCTTGATGCAGGGTTTATCTGTTCCTTTAATATTTGGCAAACATAATGGAATATATTTATTTTAGACCATTTTCCCCCCGCCTGTTTCTCAAATTGTGCTTCGTGCCTTCTTTTTTGAGATGGTTTAAAATTTCATTTTTATTTTAATTGTACTTAAAATCTATATAAGCACAATAAGGGTATTCTTTTTTTTTTTTTTTTAAAGATTTTATTTATTTATTTGTCAGAGAGAGAGAGAGAGCGAGAGTGATAGTTAGGTAGAGACAGGCAGATAGAGTGGCAGGCAGAGGCAGAGGGAGAAGCAGGCTCCCTGCTGAGCAAGGAGCCCGATGTGGGACTTGATCCCAGGACTCTGGGATCATGACCTGAGCCGAAGGCAGCCGCTTAACCAACTGAGCCACCCAGGCGTCCCCAATAAGGGTATTCTTGATCAAGGTATTAAACCAGATACCAAAGAGTCGTAAGGGAAGAGAATATACTTAATCTATAAGAGGAAAGAAGTTATGCTCCACTAATACTCATTATGTATATTTAAAGTAGCAAATACATATCACACACAAATTAGTAGATATACATAGGTATGTCCTCATATTTTTTTAACTAATAGGAATGCATGATTTAAAATATGTGGAGTGGGCCTGGGGGGTTAGTTGCTTAAGTGTCTGACTCTTGCATTTGGCTCAGGTCTGATTTCAAGGGCAGTGCGATCAAACCCGGCCTCCTCGCTCAGCACTGGGCAGAGCCTGCTTAAGATTTGACCTCTCCCTCTGCCCCTCCCCCTGGCTTGTGCTTTCTCTCTAAAAAATAAAAATAAAATAAAATATGTGGAAACTTACACAAACAACCAGCAAATTGTTTGGATTCAAACCCAATTCGAACTTTATACAATTTCTGTGCTCACTTTTTCTTTTGGTTTTGTGTTGAGAGAAGGCCATATTGCCATATGCTTTGTCGTGTGATGTAGGTTTTGCAGGGCCTTGAATAGAGTGTGAGAGTTGAGTCACCACACATGGTAGTATAGGATTGCCAGACTGTAAGAATATCATTTTTATATCAATTGGATATATTTGAGGAATTTTGTCTTAATTTTACTAAGATACAAAGCAAGTTGCTGTCATTATTTATAGGAATGTAGTAGTATGTCTTCATGTAGATTTATTTTCTTTGGTTTTGATTCCAGCAGTGATTGATCTGATATCTACTTGGTAAAGACTTAAGTAACTGCTGGGATGCTAACTGGATATTCAAGTGAAAAGGACACTTTAAGAAGCCAACAAGTTAGATTTCATAATAACTGACGTTCAAAGAATGTTTACTGACAGAGTCTTAAATATAAGATCTGATCCCTGAAGTCAAGTAATGTAACAGGAATTTCTGAATTGCATTTTATACAACATACTTTTGTGAACATTTTCTGTATTATCGAGTTATATTGTAGTGTAGATATCAAAATACAGGGGAAAAAATGAAGTGTAGAACCAGGCCTGATGTTATCTCTTTCTCCTGTTAAATACAGTAGTAGTAACTTATATAGTTAGTTTTAGCAAAATAATATCCTCCTTCAAATCTTAATGTGTTTAGAGTATTATTAGTTTGGTAGTTTTGTTAAAATGTGATTTATAATTTTGTATTTATTTGTAGTTTTATAAGAACCATAAGCCTAAGGAGTTAACTTTCATTTATATATGTAAGTTTCATTACACAAATAATTTAACACCCGGACCAAGTAGAATTTTTTTTTTCCCCCCTCCAGGAAAGAGTTCTGAACATTTCTTAAGTTTTAGAAACAGTGGATAAGAATATGTGGTTGGACTTCTAAACCTTTGAAATTGTTTTTTTCTAGTCCTGTTTTTCTAATCGATTATCCACAAATAAAATGATTTTTTAAAATGTTATGTTAACTGAGGGTTATAGTAATTATATGGGGGCTCAAAATTATCTGCAAGAAAGATGTTGATTGAATTTATGATTTTTTTGAGATTGATTTATTTATTTTAGAAAGACAGAGAGAAAGCAGGGAGAGGAGTGGAGGTGGAGGAAGACAGAAAGAATCCCAAGCAGACTCCCCGCTGAGCATGAGCCAGGAAGGAGCCAGAATGATGTGGGACTTGATCCCACAACCCTGAGATCATGACCTGAGCCGAAACCAAGAGCTGGATCCTTAACCGACTGAGCTGCCCAGGCACCCCTGAATTTATAATTTTAAGCTGAAATTATGCTTCTTTATAACATTGACATTGTATAGATATTGAATGATCATTTAATTTTATAGATTAAAATTAACTTAATCAAATAAATGGCCTAAAGGAATACCTTTATAATTGAGATTTAGAGATAGTTCAGTCTTATTTAATAGTGGCTTATAACAGAAAAGGTGATTGGTAATAACTTAATGTAAGTTAGTCATCTTAAGTTATGAAAAAAGAGAAGATATATTTTCCATTTTAAGAGGAGTAACTTTCACCATTCTGTGAGCATGAATCAGTAACAGCTGAAGATCTGATCTTTGAATGCGGCACCGTTGGAACCCTCTCAAAATAGAAATCTAGCCAATTTTCAAGAAAAATCACAATGTTTCAGTTTTGAACTTTAATGTATTTGGAACATATGCAGCAGAACACTTTCTTCTTGCTATCTCCTGCCAAACTAATTATGTATACCGCATTAATTTTTCCCTTATGTTTGGGAAGCTCAAGTATATATGGTAGAATTGCCTGATTCATGTTCATCACTTTTAATGGTAAGATCAAGATGAGAAGTATTTAAGATAAATTTTATAATTTTCTCTAAAAGAAAATATATGCAAAAATGAAAATGTTTCCTTCACTCCCCTGATATTTATTGAATACTTACTATATGCCAGGTTCTTTTACTAAGCCTGAGTGTAAGTGATACGGTGGTGAACAGAATAGAGAAAGACCCTGTCCTCAGAGAGCTTATATTCCAATAGGAGTGGGGTGGGAGATGATGGGGATTTCAAATTCATAAATGACCTGTAGAAAATAAAACATGTAATGAGAATGGAGTAGCTCAACTGAGATTGGGATGATAGGAAGATTTGGGAGAAGTCTAAATTTCTTTGGTGAGTAGCCCCTAAACTGGGAAAGGCTTAGCATATTCTGGGAACAGAAAAGCCACTATGGAAGGAGCACGGTGAACATGGGTGGTAGGAGTTGCAGTTAGAGAGGTTAGACAGAAGCCACATTAAGTAAAGCCTTTTTGACCATGAGAGGAGTTTCAGTTTTTGTCTAATTATAATGGGGAGTCTTTGGAGGATTTTAAGTGAGAAAGTTTAATGATGTGACTTATTTCAGAAAGATCACTCTGGTAGTTATAAGGAAAATGACCTGTAAGAGGGCAGGAGTGGAAGCAGGAAGCCAGGGAGGGAGATATTTCAGTATCTAGTCTCTTAGGGAGGTGGAGTGGAGCCAGTGAAGAGCGATTGGGCTGGTGGTGTGTTCCTGTAGCACCCCCTTTGCACTTGCATGCTTTCATACCTGGGATTCTGAAAGTTAATTTCTTTGGAATATCATAGGTTAATGTGGACTCTAAGTCTTAAGATTGTCAAATACTACGAAATCTAAAAAAAAATATTTGGGGAAGACAGTGTAACTCCTTCAGCTTCCCTTTGCTCTATGGCATAAAATACACTATGTTGGGAAAAAATTTAAGTTAGTAACTTCAAGTTCTGTGGATAAATTTATGCCAGATTGCTCTAATTTCTTTGCTTTAAAGCTTATACTACATCAGAATATGAAAACAATTAAAAAGCTCTTTTAAAATATGTACTCAATAATTATTTTATTTTTAATGAAAAGAAAATATAATTGCCTCATGATATTAATAAAATGTGTCTGCTTTTAACTTATTGGTTGAAGTAGCATATTTACTGGAATTTTTTTTTTTCTAGTCACATTGTTCTGATGCTTGCAGACGATATGGCATGCAACCCTAGAAATCCCAAACCAGCTACAGTGTTTAGTCACAAGAATATGGAACTAAATGTGTATGGAGATGATGTGGAAGTGGATTATAGAAGTTATGAGGTAACATTGTTTGATTTAATCACATTTTTGAAATGTAGTTATCATTACTTTTAAACTCTAAAATAATGGTAGAATATTTTCTTTAAACTTTGTGCATAATTGTCACTGAAGCCTTGATGTAATTCTGTCTCTGGAGTTCATATTAAGGAAACAATACATGAGTAAAACTAACACAGCATGAATATTTCATATATGTATCTGGGATAGGACAACTTTATCTTGGCTCTTATGTTAGAATATTTTAGTGAGGTTTCATAACTTTTTTTTTTTACAGTAAATGCATTGTTTATCTTTCAGATTTGACCTAAAATTGTAAATTTTGTATATTTAATATATATATTGAGGAAAAATTAAAACGATTAACAAAAAACCCTATTTCCACTGCTTAGAGGTAATCACTTTTAATATGCTTCCAGTGTTTTTATGCATATGATTAAAAATTAAAGTATAAATTCGAAAAATGGCATTATATATTTTTCCTTTTGAAACTTCATTTTAAATTTAATAGATAGTGAAGATGTTTAAAATTTGAAATCTTCCTTGGTGAAGTCTTCCTCAATAATCCTTCGCCTTTTACCAAGCCTACCAAAAGTAAGAGTTTTCTGTGTACCCAGACCTGTTTTGAAGCAATTTTAAAGTCATTATCTGTCTCCTCCCCCTGTAAGCATCTTGAGGACATGGCCTGTGTCTTATGTATCTTATGCCTACCAAGTACCTATTACATTTGAAGGCACTCAGAAATGTTTGTTCAGTAATTAAATGTGGATGAATGTTGGACTACTTGTTGATTTAGTCATCATAAAATATAAACCAAAAAGAAGTCCCATTAAAACACTTATCATTTTGCTGTTTTCTGGGAAAAAAATTAAACCAAATATTAGGTACACATGCACAGAAACACATACAAATGCACATATATTTATATACTCATGATCTAGGGAAAAGTTGAACAAGAAAGCTAGATAAATTTTCCGCTTTTTAAATTTAGATCTGTGTAATATAATTTTAAATATGCTTTCAAAGAATTCAAAAGTTCAACAAATTCCAGGGTGGGAAATTTGGTTTAAAGTGTGATCCATTTTTTTACATGTTGAAGATACCCTTAGCAAAATTTAAGTAATAAAATACATTGAAAAATCAAAGATACACAATTTGGGGATTATTTGTGGAACTATCCTTATGGTTTTATTTTTATAATTCATTATGGACCTATCTTTCAAGGTTTATCTACAAGTCACTAGGTAGTTGTACCAGTCAACTGCAATAGTTACAATATTGCTGAATTTATTTACGAGTTTCTTTATTTTGTATCTTCCCAAAGAATTACCTATGAAGACATTAATAATTTTTAAATTTTAGGCAATACTTTGCTTAGCATTTAAAGTTTTAAATTTAATTAACTGATTTTTCCCAGGGTATTTTTATTAGCAATTATATTTAATGGAAGCAAGTTAACTTTGAGGCATACATATATATATATATATATATTTTTTAATAATCATATAATATATTTTTATCCCCAGGGGTACAGGTCTGTGAATCGCCAGGTTTACACACTTCACAGAACTCACCTTAGCACATACCCTCCCCAATGTCCATAACCCCACCCCCCTCTCCCAACCCCCCTCCCCCTAGCAACCTGCAGTTTGTTTTGTGAGATTAAGAGTCACTTACGGTTTGTCTCCCTCCTGATCCCATCTTGTTTCATTTATTCTTCTTCTACCCCCTTAACCCCCATGTTGCATCTCCACTTCCTCATATCAGGGAGATCATATGATAGTTGTCTTTCTCCGATTGACTTATTTTGCTAAGCATGATACCCTCTAGTTCCATCCACGTCATTGCAAATGGCAAGATTTCATTTCTTTTGATGGCTGCATAGTATTCCATTGTGTATATATACCACATCTTCTTTATCCATTCATCTGTTGATGGACATCTAGGTTCTTTCCACAGTTTGGCTATTGTAGACTTGCTGCTATAAACATTCGGGTGCACGTGCCCCTTCGGATCACTACCTTTGAGGCATATATTTAAATAAATATATTTTATTTGAGTTATATTTCACTTTATGCTGAATAATATATAGAGAAAGAAGAAGGAACGTTTTTGGAAAAAAAAAATTATGTTTCCCCTGATTCTGTTTCATCCCAATTTCTTCTTTTTTTTGCAGGTAACTGTGGAGAATTTTTTACGGGTATTAACTGGCAGAATCCCACCTAGTACTCCTCGGTCAAAACGTCTTCTTTCTGATGATAGGAGCAATATTCTTATTTATATGACAGGTAATTTGAGAATTTAGGTATTTAGAAATAGAATATGTATCCATCTTCATGGAAAGATATTTAAACACCTTAAATGAGTTTTGGTTAAAATTGTTTTGTAGTTCTCTTTTCTCATATGACAACTTGAAATATTTGGAGACAGCATAACATTTTCTACTGTCCCTTGATGTATTCACTCTTTTTTTTTTTTTTTTTTTTTTTTTTACTATTACCCTGGTACAGCTTATCACCTTTTATTTCATAACCCTGCTATAGCCTTGTTGCCTTCAGTTTAGTCTCCTGTTAATCATCCTACTAAAATAGTAAAAATTATAAATCTGTCCTTCCTCTGCATAAAACTTTACAATGATTTCCTGTTGATGGAGTCTTAAATTTTAGAATGTATAAGGATTATTTGAATGCAGATACTCAGGTCTTTAAAATTCTGATTTAGGTTTGGTCCAGGGTAGGGCTTATGAACCTGCACTTTAAGTATGTTCCCCACATATAAACTTTGATAGTCTTTTGTCTATACTTTGAGGACTACTGGAGATAAAGTCTTAATAATATTAGTTATTTTTATTATTTATTTAGTTATATATGTAATATATAATGTATAATAATATATGTTATATTTAGTGATATTATTTATTTCACTTTCGTTCTTGCACTTTCTCTAATTTTCTTCTAGGACTGCTTCTGTCCTCCAAACATTTGGTTAAGCTATTGCCTTTGTTTATTGATGTCTTCTCAGTTCACTTTGCCTACCTGATTATTCCTTATCTTTTTAGTCTTAGCTCTGGAGTCACCGCCTTTGCTGATTTTCCTCTGCAAGTCTAGGGTGACCTGTATCTCCAGTTGCCTGGGACAGTCATAGTTTATACCTATTATCCTAATGTAATAGTGCATCCCTTTTCCTTCAGAAGTGTCTTGCTATATATATTATAATTGCCGAGAGACACTGCTTATCTCCCTGGTTGGTGTAGGCTCTCCTCTCACTCCATGTTAATCTGTAGTTTCTATATGAGCATTTAACTTACTACTTTCTTGTTTGGCTATTTATTGCCTTCATTACATTTTGAACTCCCAAGATGTCATTGATAATGGGGTTTTCACCTTTTTATTTCCAGTGCTGTGTTTTATGGTAGTATTCGGTAAGTATGATTGTTGACCAAACGGTATTTAAAAATGTTTTTGGAGGGCATTCCATTCAACTGATGATAAAACATTTGCAGAACGGTTTTTAGATGTCACACAGCAGGATGGTTACGGACTTCTACTTGGTGATTTACTTTTCTTTGTCTATCGTGTTGCATTTACTTACAGCTTTTCAGATTCAATGAATTTATAAACTTTATAAATTAGCAGAGCTAAGTCAGGAAAATTTCCACTTTAGTTTATCTGACAGTTATAAGAAAATGTCAAGCTTTTGTGGCAAATATTATAAAGTACAGTCTTATAGTTTAGTTTTATCTGATGTACTAAACTAAACATACAATTTTTTTTCTAAATCTATGGATCTTCTTTCAGGATAAGTCCAGGTATGTAAGAAACTCCAATAGTCCAAGACAGACTTTGATAAACTATGGCCCATGGAAGGTTGTCTGTTTTAGAAATAAGGTTGTATTAGAACCAGTTGTATCCATTTGTTTTACATACTGTCTGTGGCTGTTTTTACGCTACAGTGGCAAGATTCCAGTAGTTGCAACAGAGACCATGTGGCCCATAAGTCTAAAACATTTATTACCTGGCCCTTTACAGAAAATTTGCCAACCCAGGTAAGAGACTAGAAGGGCTGACAATTATAATAAAATGATAATGGCACTAGCCATTAATGAGGCTTATTGTACCTCAGGCAATCAATATAAATCAATGTGTGTATGAATTCATTTCATCCTTACAGCAATCCAAAGATTTAGGTGCTGTTGTATATAGTTATGTGGGTTGTGCACTGCACATAAGTGTTTGGCTAGGGGTTGAGTGGGAGTTGTAATCTAGTATATGTTTGCACATAGTAAAATGTGTGCCATAGAGTCGTTCTAATGGAAGAAAGAAGTATCATATTTCCCCCACAAAGACATAACTACTAATCACTTTTGAGTTCACAGAACTGGATATATTCAGAGGGGCCACTGAAAAAGATTTTTCTACTTTGAAGCCCTGTGAGAAGTACCTTTTTAAAAAATTCACACAAAGGAACTTTATATGCGTGCTAATGACAGTGCTGATATATTTCTTATTTCACAGCTAGGGAAACTGAGGCATAGAAAGATAAACTTATTTGCCTAAGTTAACACAGTCATTAAGTGGCAAAGCTAGCATTTGAATCCAGATAGACTGGCTATATCCATGGATTCTAAGTGTCACAGTCTTCTGGTCAGCTCTCATGGGACAGTTGTTGATAGTAGTAAAAACTTTAAATGTGAGAACAACACTTCAGTAGTATAGCATTTCAAGTACACTCTGAATAATACTAGCATACTATTGGGACCAAGCAAGTATTTGTAACTCCTTTCTCACTAAAATGTGTGCCTGGTTTTGAGAAATTATTTATCTATAGAAACTCACTTCTGACATAATAATGGAGCCAGTGCAAAAATATAAATGTGCTTTTATAGAATGGAATGATAGAAGAATTTATAAAGGTATTATATCTGCTGTTTTTTGCATAGTCGATCATTATTCTATTTTTAATTGGTTGTAATAGAAAATTATTTTTTGTTTTCATAGTACTTTTCATTTTAGAGTATAAAAATAACAAGAGATACTAAAATATTGCCATGAATGAAGTAAATGTTTATATCTGGATATATGCAGTTTGCATTTAAAAAATGCATGTATTTGATCTTTTTAACTCTTCCTACAAGGACATGGTGGAAATGGTTTCTTGAAATTTCAAGATTCTGAAGAAATTACCAACATAGAACTTGCAGATGCTTTTGAGCAAATGTGGCAAAAAAGACGGTAATTAGCAAATGACTGCTTTTCTTCTCCTTCTTTTTTTTTGTTTTTGAAGATTTTATATATTTATTTGACAGAGAGAGAGAGAGAGAGACAGTGAGAAAGGGAATACAAGCAGGGGGAGTGGGAGAGAGAGAAGCAGGCTCTTCCTGCTGATCAGGGAGCCTGATGTGGGGCTTGATCCCAGAACCCTGGGATTATGACCTGAGCCGAAGGCAGATGCTTAACGACTGAGCCACCCAGGTGCCCCATCAAATGACTACTTTTCGTAAGATAAATTAGTACCTGTTTTTCTATGGTTAGTAGATTTGTAGATCCTATTTTATGAGATTTTAACTTATTTTAATATAACTTCTTCTACTCTACTAGATCTATGTTTGTTATTTCTACTGAACTATTTTTAAAAGAAACCTCAGTGTTATTAAAGAGCATAAAAACAAGTTGGGTGCCTGGGTGGCTCATTGGGTTAGGCCGCTGCCTTCGGCTTAGGTCATGATCTCAGGTTCCTGGGATCAAGCCCTGCATCAGTTTCTTTGCTCAGCGGGGAGACTGCTTCCTTCTCTCTCTCTCTCTCTGCCTACTTGTGATCTCTCTCTGTGTGTGTCAAATAAATAAATAAAATCTTAAAAAAAAAAACAAGTTAACCTCTTAAGACCATCTCCCTGTTATTTAGCAATGTTTTTGGAGGAAATTAGAGTACTACCAAACAAGTTTCCCTTTATGTAAGGGGATTGTGAACGTATATTTATTTTCCAGCTTCAGCCTCTTGTTACTTTTTGTACATTCTCTGACTCTCCACATGATAGCAATACGTTATTTCTTCTTTGGAAAAAATGCTGAAATAATGATTAATATAATATTTATAGCCTAACTCACATCAAGGATGACATATTGTTAGTGATCCATGGTAAGCACCTCTCTAGTCGAAAGTTGTCATATGAACGTAAGTGAATATAAAGCAGCGGAAATGCTTTTAACTTGGTTACCTTCAATAACCACTTACAGGTTACCTTCTAAAAACATGGTGCAGAAAGGAATATGATACATATTCTGCCTTCGCAGTGTTTAAAATCTAGTGGAAAAGAAATGTGTATACAACTCTGCTGCAATTAAATGTAAATATTGAATTATATGCATAAGCAGAATAAATGGAAATGTTGAAGGGAAGCTTTTGCTAGGTACTGGTTTTATCTTATTCATAGTTTATGTTTCCTGGATATATACGAGGTACTAGGCACTGTTTTATATATAGTCTTGTTTAATATCAATAACAACCCTATGAGGTAGATACTACTATTATTCCTATTTTCACACGTGAGTAAATTGAGACATAAATAGATTAACTTGCCAGATTTTGCACAACTAGTAAGTCCAGCACTAAGACTCATTCCTAAGTGCTCCAGTCATTTTACTGTACTGCCCGTCAAAACTGTAGATGTTTCTGACCCTCAGGGGCGTCCACAGATTTTTTTCTCAGAACAAATACATCATCTGACTTCTTCCTTTTATCATCTGCTTAGATATTGTGGCGCCAGATTGCTCACTTTCTTTTCTAGGTGCAATGTTAGCTGTTTACCTAGATCAGGTGTCTGAGCGAAACCTTTGAGAAATGTATCTGCTCCCTACTTTCACCAACTAGGAAGCTCATTCTAAAATACAGAGCCAATTATGTTATTTTCACTTGAAAAAAGCCCTGTTTGGCTTCCTCAGACTTAAGAGGGTTGAGATCCATACTTCATATGAGGTAGTACATAGATTGACTCCACCATACCTTTTTGAAACTAATTTCCTCCATTTCCCCAAATTTACTGTAAATTCTCATTATATAGTACTGTTCCTCTTTTCTAAAACAATTACACTTTTTCAAATTTAGTTCCCTTAGTAGAACCTTATTCCTTTCTTGGAATGTGCTATTCCTTTCTTTGTTAGTTAAAATAACTTACCCTTCATTGCCCAGGCCAGGCATCACCTTTCTCTGACCTGCCTTTCTTTACAGTCCCCCCTCTTCCTTTCTCAGTGCTGTTAGAGCACTTTGACTTTATTAGACTCTAAGCTCTGTGAGGACAGGGACTCCTGTATCCCCAGCTTAGGGGATACATACTATATAGGCTCTAGTAACTATTTGTGATTCTTACCACATTCCATTTGGTTAAATGTTTATGTGTCTCTTTTCCAGTTAGATTTTAAGCTTTTTGAGTATGGTGACTAAGTCCTGTATGTTTTTTCCTGAATCTGGCTCATTTTCTAGGACAGCCTGGGTGCCAAATAAGTGTTTCTTGAATTGAATATTCATTTGGATTCTGAATCATGTGGCCAAGATAAGGGAAGGGGAAATAACTGGGGCAGCCACTATGTGGTACAACCTGTTGAGGTTGTTTCCTTGGACAAGATTATAGCTTTAATATTTCTAATGTCAAATTTGTGTTGGGAATTCTGAAACTTGCAAATTTTTAACTAATAAAATGACTAAGATATGACTTAAACATCTTATGTTATGCAAGTAATGTAAAAATATCAGTTAATGTTTGATTAACAGCATTATTCATGTTAAAGATAGTACCACTTTTCTTTCAGCTACAACGAGTTACTGTTTATTATTGATACTTGTCAAGGAGCATCCATGTATGAACGATTCTATTCTCCTAACATAATGGCTTTAGCTAGTAGCCAAGTGGGAGAAGATTCACTCTCGGTAGGTGCATATTTCCCATTTGCAAACTGCGTTGTCTTTGGAATATGTAGCTATTTTGGAAATCACTTGTATGCTTTAAGAATATATATATATATACATACACACACACACACACACACACACACACACACACACACACACATTATTCTTAGACTTTTTAATACCTTAGAAGGAAATTTTGATTGCTTTTAAAATATTTTCTTTTAATGATGTTGTTTGACATATATTATTTTTTCTGCTTTGCTTTTAAAAATATTATAAAATTACAATTATAAAATAATTATAAAAATGTATAATTGACTAATATTGTGTTAGTTTCAGCTGTACAACATAATGATTCAATATTTGTATATATTGCAAAATAATCATAATAAGTCTAGTTAACATTTATCATCAGACCATAAAAAAAAAAAAGGCACCATATATAGTTACAGAATTTTTCTTTCTTGTGATGAGAACTTTTAAGGTATAATTCCTTAGTAACTTTTAAATGTGCAGTACTGTATTATTAACTGTAGCCACCATGCTGTACATTATATCCCATGTCTTATTTATTTTATAACTGGAGTTTGTCCCTTTGGCTCCCTTCACCCATTTGGTCTACCCTCCGCCTCTCATCTCTGGCAACCACCGTTTGTTCTCTGTATCTATAAGGTTGGTTTTTGTTCTTGTCGTTGTTTTTAGATTACACATATAAGGGAGATCATATGGTATTTGTCTTTCTCTGACTTATTTCATTTAGTATAATGACCTCAAGATCCGTCCATGTTGCCACAATGGCAAGATTTATTTCTTTCCTTCCTTTTCTTTTCTTTCTTTCTTTCTTTCTTTCATTCTTTCTTTCTTTTTTCTTTTCTTTTCTTTTCTTTCTGGCTGAATAATATGCCATAGTATATGCTTTGTTTTTTCATAGCATCAACCTGATCCTGCAATTGGAGTCCACCTTATGGATAGATACACATTTTATGTCTTGGAATTTTTGGAAGAAATTAATCCAACTAGCCAAACGAATATGAATGACCTTGTAAGTATTTCCTTGATTTGATTAAAGCACATAGGTATGCTTAATTGATAAGTGAAGTCCTTTATTCCCTGTACTGCCAGGATACTGTTTCTTACGTTGAACAGTAGCCTTTTAAACTGTTTTGAATCTCCCTCTAAAGTATCTTTCTCTCTTTACTACAGGAGGCCTAAAGTTTAGCCTGTTTAACTTGTTACTTTCATTCATTTGCTCATGCTCTTTTCTCTACCAGAAATGTACTTTTTTAGATTCATCCACTGAAATTCTACCTATACTTTGGGTGTCAAATCAGATCCTGCCTCCTCCAGGAATATTCCCATAGTTCTTCCCTGTTGGAATTTAAGTAAGATAAATAAGTTTTTCAGAGCTTTATTTCTCGTCTACCATTTATTGTAGTCTGCCTTTTTTTTGAACTTACTGAGTGTGAGTAATAGGGCATTCTTGGAAGAATTTTTTTTTGTCCATCCTTCAACTTCTAGTACAGTGTTTGTTTGTTTTTTAAGATTTTATTTATTTACTTGAGAGAGTGGGCAAAAGAGAAAACACAAGCAAAGGGAGGGGCAGAGGCAGAGGGAGAAGCAAGCTCCCCGCAGAGCTGGGAGCCTGATTCCGGGCTTGATCCCAGGATCCTGGGATCATGACCTGAGCTGAAGGAAGACGCTTTACTGACTGAGCCACCCAGGTGCCCTAGTACAGTGTTTTGATGAGGTTTCTTGAACTTAGTTCAGTCTTTTTTTCCTGGCTTTTCTGTGCTTCTTGGATCCTTAAATAAATCTACTTTCAAGTTGCTATTGAAAGTAGGCATAATAAAAAAGCTTGAAATAGCGATTCTAGATTGGATAATTACTGAGCATCTATGACTTACCTTCTTTTTTTCATTAATTTATACCCTGTTCTTTTATTCATAAATATTTTTTGAGTTTGGGCTAAGTGCCAGCCACTGGCTCTATCCTAGTGAAGGAGACAGGCACTGTCTCTGCCTTCATGGAGCTTCAGAATGAAAGGGAGGCCAAGTAGACTGGGCTTGGAACTCACATATCAGCCAAGCAGCTTTGCATTGATCTCTTTTATCATATAGAAATGTTTTAGATAATTTTTTTAATTAAAGAAGTTTTGCAAAATTCTAAAAATCACTGTTATAAGCTGTTATATTTGATAACATAGCATTACTTGCTACATTTTGGAGATTATATATTTGATGCCTGTTAAATCTTAATGTGAACTTGTTACAATATTACTTTGTAAGAAAACTATAGTCACCTAAATTCTAGTTACTTTAGTTTTTAGAGTTATTCCCATTTTTAATTATATATTGTATATTTTATTTAATACGTGATATACTGTCTCAAAAGTTTACAATATATGCACCTCACACTTCAAATGTCTAATGGATTTTTAAAAAAAAAATAACTTCTTCCTTTGAAATCATATAGGAAAGACTGAAGAAACTTATTTTTTTTTAGAAACTTATTTTTTTATGTGTTTATTTTTTCCCACAATTGCTGTACAGTTTTTAATAAACATTCCTCACTAATATCTTGTTCCCTACTTCTGTTTTTTTAATTGAATGATGGTTATTTTAATCTTGTTCAGTAAGAATGATCCACTTTTTTGAAGTTAAATATTCTATTGATTCGATATATCTTAAGATGTTGTGGAATAATACCTATTCTGTTGGATTATGTGTGTATAGGGAATTTGTTGGGTATCAGCTGTATTCAGAGTACAATATTAGGAGCTTCGTGGGCAGCAACATTAGAAGAGGTGGTCCTTGCCCACTTAAAAATTTATCGTGTCATTGGTAACAGCTGAAAAGCACATTTATAGAGTATCACCTATTAAATGAAGTCTTTGGATCCTCCAGGTAATTTTATTTCTTTTGTGTAACTGTTGCTATGTACCTTTAAGATGCTTTTAGTATTGTACTGTAATTGTTTATATTTGTGACATTCCCTTGAGGCTTTGAGGTTCTTAAGTAAGAAGTAAATGGACATCGTCTATGCTTCTCACTACCTACAGAATTGAATTATAGTACCTGGTATATTTATAGTTCTCAGTGAATATTTGTAATGAATGGAAGGACGTGACAACCATGCACATTTGTATGGTTCCTTTAAATATAATGGGTTTGGTGTTTACAGTTTTTCTTGAGAGAAGTAGATTTTTGGGTTTGAAAGAAGCAAAATATAGCATATTCTAGGAAAATGGAATACGTGCAGAGGCATGGAAGTCGGAATCCTTGTCTTCAGTAGTAAGCATATGATCTGGCTAGAGTGTGAGGATTCTGTAAATAAAGGAGATTACTAGAAATTAATGTTGCTGAGGCTAAGGAAATCATATTGATAGGATAAAATATCTTGAAGGAAAAATAACTTCACAGAAAGTGGAAGTATACTCATTTTAGCAGCAGAGAAGGTAATACTTTTTATCTTATTCCCAAGCTCATTTGCCTATACTTTTCCTCCTGGTACTTATGAAAGCCCACCAAGTTGCTGGCTCATACAGGAATGCCTTCAGTATACATAGGATTTCAATCTTTGTGTATTTTGTTTTATCTTTTACTATGTTTCTTCAACCTTCCATCTGTATTGTCCTTCCTGTTTGGCATTTCCCTTTCTAAAGTAAGTTTGGCATTTTACTCTCTCCCCATCCTTTTTGCCTTCACTGCCTCTTTATATTCTGATCTCTTCTTTGGATTTTCTTTTATTGTTTTCCTAAATCAGGAAGGTATTGTGATATTAGGCCAGTGACTTAATCTTTTTGAGCTTTAGTTTTAAGTAGAGATAATAATCTTAATATACCTCACAGTTATTAGTAGTTTAAATCAGAGTATCTATAAATTGCTTCACACAGTGCTTGGATCACTAGTTTCATAAATTCTAGCTGCTCTGCCCTTCTCCACCCATCTCCCATCATATTAGTAATTATCTGTATATATCATCTTGTCTCCATAGGTGGGCAAGTACTGTGGGCTGTAGGCCCTTACTGCAGTCTTGTCATGGTTTTCTTCGTATATTCTGTGCTTTTGCCAAACTAGGTTATTTGCCTTACACATCTTTGCAGCTGCTCCTTAAGAATGTTATTTCCCATCTGTAATCTCCCTTTTCCTTCAGAATGTAGCTCAAATCCCACTCTTTCTTTTTTCTTATCCTCAGACTATGAGAAGTTTATCCTTTTCTGAAGTAGAACCTGTCACCTTTTCCCCCCTACCTCTCTATGTTTATTCATCTCTGACTTGACTTAAGGCCTTGAAGATAGGACCATGTTCTGTCAACTTTTGTATCCTTTGTGGAAGTAACAGTATGAAATATACGTAGTAGATGTTTTATCTGCTTTGCTGAGTGAATGAGTACATGTTTATCCCTGGTAATTCACTGATGTGGAATATCGGGGATATGATTAACATAGACATTTTCATGAGACCTGTGTGAGATCTCTGTGAAGTTGTGGTTTTTCAGGCTATATTCTTTGAGGACTAGAGTGTCTGGAGGTGCTTTGGATTTATTTTCATTATGGCTAAACTAAGAAATTTGCCGCCCACTGAGATGAATGTAGATGCAGAAAAAAAGCAGCTCTTTTCATAGTATTACATATAAATTCTTGGTAAATTTAAAAGTTCAAAATATATTTTGTAGCATATGATCCAAAAAAGTGCATGTTTTTTTCCCCTCCCTGGTCTGCTTCCCTTTTTGTCACCTGCTCTAATGTCTGTATAGCTTTCTTAGAATATCAAGTACTACTGTAGCAAAGAAACTTTAATCTTTAAAATCAGAAGCTTCTTTAGATTGGAAGAGCTTTAAAAATACTCTATAATCAGGGTGCCTGGGTGGGTTAGTCAGTTGAGCATCTGATCCTAGTTTTGGCTTAGGTCAGGATCTTGGGGTCATGGGATTGTGCATCATCTTGGGCTCCATGCTTGGCAGAGAGTCTGCTTAGGATTTTCTGCCTCTCCCTCTGCCCCTTCCCCTACTGACTCACTCACTCTCTCTCTTATAAATAAATCATTAAAAAAATACACTACAGTCTACTATACTGTGTTATTGAATTGATAAAAGTTGTATGTATATGTGTATATTTATTATTGTTATATATATGTTTTTCAGTTTCAGGTATGTCCTAGAAGTCTCTGTGTGTCTACCCCTGGACATCGCACTGACCTTTTTCAGAGGGATCCTAAAAATGTCTTGATAACTGATTTTTTTGGAAGTGTACGGAAAGTGGAAATTACAACAGAGACTATAAGTTTGCAACCAGATTTAGAAATCATGGAAAGCAGGTATTTATCTTGAATTATTATTTTCTTAGAATATTCTAGTCTCATGATTTATAAATTTTTATGTAACATGATGTTACATAATATTGAGATGAACGTTGGTGTTTCTTAATAAAACTACACATTTCTACCCAATCTTCATTTTATGTAGGCCCTACGCTTTTCAGGTGTATGGGCAAAAGCTATAAATATTAGGCAGAAGCTATGATCATGATTAGAATTATGTTGTAGTTCCAAAATACAATGTTCATAGTAGTGATTTGAGGCTTGCTCAAAAGGCATAAAACTTTCTTTGTAACTGGCTGAGAGCCATACTTTCATTAGTGGAGGTATGTATAATAGTTCAGAAGACTTCATGAAAGGGCAGATATGTGAATGTTTCAAACATTAATACTCTAATGAGTGTATATGCTTTGACCTATTGCAGTAGAATGGGTTACCTGAAGTGACATTGAATCGGGAAGTTGGCAGCTGGGCATTTAGGGTGTAATAAGGGCCCTAGGAATCCGGCAGATGTAAGACAGATAAACATAAAAAGGGAAGCGAGTGCCAAAAGTCATATTTCAAATACATATTTCAGACTATAAAACAGTGCTTCCATGTTCAGAATTTCTGTGGGTTCCAGCAATCTGGTTACTTCTCTGACTGCTGTATATTTTGGTTCCTACAGTCTGGGTCGTTTATGAGCCTGGGTCAGTGGTATCTCTGGCTTTTCTCTAGTTTTATATTCTGTTAATCTGGAACAGTTTATCTGGAGCTGTTATAAATTTGGAGTGACCCTCTCATCAACAGGTGCCACTGTTTCTGCTTTATTTGGGGGCTCTTGGTAATTCATTAGGGAAAGGATGGGAGGTATACACCAGATACTCCTCTTTTGGGGAGCAGATGGTGTGAGTGTGCAGTGAATGTGCGTGCATGCACACATATGTAGATGTGTGTACAGATGTGTATGAGAGAGTGCAAAACCTGGAGAAAGGGAGATTGAGAAAAATTAATTGATTTGGGGTATGTGAATTTTAGAAATATGTGTAATGTTTCATTTATATTTTTCTACTGTAAACATTTTTAAAGGCAAAATACTTTGTTAGGTTTCAGGAGTGTCTCATTTTATAGCCTCTTTCTTGAAATAGATAATGTGTTTTACTAGCATTAAACTGTGGTGTTATTTATGATTCTCTAATGCTATCTATTGGAAACTCATACTCCTATGAACTTTTCTGGGCTGGTAACTGGCAACATAAATTACTCTCAGTTTTGAAAATTTCAAAGACTTGTGTAATTGAGCTTATAAATGTTTTAGAGATAAAAAAAACTAGCACAAAATGCATCTTTTTTGAAGATTTAAAGTTGATATTATTATTATTAATCATTCTATTCTGGATATTCAAAGCCTTGGACCTTTTCTTTTCCATTTCCTATCGATATTGGCTTCAGATTTTTTTTTTAAGACATCAGATGACATTCTACAGCAATATCAGTTTTATTTATTTTATTATATTTTATTTCTTAAGATTTTATTTATTTATTTGAGAGAGAGAGACAGAGCATGAACAGGAGGTAGGAGACAGAGGGAGAGGGAGAAGCAGACTCTCCACTGAGCTCGATCCCAGGACCCTGAGATCATGACCTGAGCTGAAGGTAGATGCTTAACCAACTGAGCCACCTAGGTGCCCCTTATTTGTTATTTTAAATACTGAATTTCAGATTGCCCTTGTAAAATAGCTAAACCTAATTTAATACTTAGCAACTAAAATTGAAATATGTCTTTTACCAATTTTATTTTGTAATTTTCCTTGAATTCAAGCCTATGAGATTGTAAGATACATCTTCTCTTAACCATATAAACATTGAATTAATTTACTTTAAAAGGCTGAGACCATCTTTATACTTCTTCTGACTTATTTTCTGTTCTCTCCTTTTAACACAATATTAAATATGCAGTAAGTATACATAAAAATGATTTCAGTGGAATCTGATGGGTTTCAGTATATATTCTGGAAGAGTGGAATTTTGTCTTATAAATTATCTGCATGTATTAGTTCCAGAGCAGAAACTGTTGGTGCTGAAAATTATCTTAATTTATCTTTAATCGAGGAGAAAATTTTGAGCATCAGAGCCAGACACCAGGCACAGTTGAATTATAGCACCCTCTAGTGTTTATAAATAAATTTTATTTAGAATATTGTGTACAGATGGTTTCATGATCACTGGTATAAGTTATCCAGTTAATTTAAGAGAATTAAGTTTCCAGCATGATTCGGGAATTTTTAAGTAGATGCTATCAGTGTTGTATGTAGGTGGTATTTATATGCAAATAAAATGGCAATCAGATAATTTGTTTAGAGAAAATTACATTCATGAGAGGCCAGATATCACAAAAATATTTTATTAAGAAAATTATGGATTTGGGGCGCCTGGGTGGCTGAGTGGGTTAAGCCTCTGCCTTCAGCTCAGGTCATGATCTCAGGGTCTTGGGATCGAGTCCCACGTCGGGCTCTCTGCTCAGCAGTGAGCCTGCTTCCCCCTCTCTCTAACTGCCTCTCTGCCTGCTTCTCTGCCTGCTTGTGATCTCTCTCTCTGTCAAATAAAAAAAAAAAAAAAATGAAAGAAAGAAAATTATGGGTTAGAATATATATGTATTTTTCAGATCTTAGGTTTAAAATGTCAATACAGTCACTATTACTAAAATTGGCAGTTATGCTTTTAAAAATACTACCATTTACATGTTAGGAAAACAATGGAGTTGGTTCATTCAGACTGTTCATATTTCATATTTTACATACAAAAGTATACTAGACTAAACTCAGATATGATGGGGAACTTTACTTAGTACATAAAATTGACGTTATGATATGATATTGTTATGTGTCTTCTGAAACAGATATTGAGTAAGGTACAGTCATGAAGTTAATGACAACACTTTGTTTCTGCAGGTGTCTTTGTAGTTGTGTGATTAATTTGTTTGCAAGAACAGATGGCACAAAATAAGGATTGATTGCAGAAGTTTCGCTTATGTAACTTGATTCTACAGTGCTTCATTTGAGTATACATAGATTGGCTTTTGATAAGTAGGTAGACAATAGCCTGTGCTCCTGAAGGAGTTGGGCTTTATAGAATCTAGTGATAAGTCCATGTTAGCATCATTCAGATTACCAGTTTTGTGCCCTTAAGTATGGAGGAAAGAGCCCCTAACTTGTGGATGTCAAAAGATAGGCACATTTTAGTGTTACAAAATGTAGAAATCTAAGTTTAGTAGGCATTGCCCAAGAAAAAAGGGAATCCAGGACAGTATTAACTTACCTAGTCTGACTTTTGCTTTAGGCTCTAAATTTGGGGACTTGATTCTATTTATGAATGTTTTGTTGCTGTAATTTTATTATTATACTAGAATTTCTTTCTCTTTGGAGGCAGTCTTTAGCAATCGAATTTTTTTGAGTCTAGCAGGAAATTTGAGACTGGACTTTTTTCTTACAGATTTCTTACAGACCTCCAACAGAGGGGTAGCATATGGCCTCCTCAAGGTCAGTTTATGTTTTGAACACCAGAACAGGCCTCTTTCAAGGGCTTGTTCAACAAGTCCCCCCCACAGGTAGATCAAAGATCAGACAGTTGCTGCCACAGTCATAATATTTTGAGCCCTTTCTATGTGCTTCATGCTTTATATGACACATTAGCTAGAACTGTTGAGTTGTAAATAATGGGATCTAACCTGAGCTATGTTATTTCCTTAAGGATATTTGTTATACAGATAATTCTGTGTTTTATGGATCCCAGGGACTGACCCCAAGAAGGGCCTAGAAATAGGAACCAGATGTCAGTCAGAAGCGGAGGCAGCACTTTCTCCATCTCCCTGTTGTTTTAGTCTTTTCTTCCTCTGCTGCTCTGGCCGTTTGTGGGGCAGAATGTGTACACACCACTGCTCTAGAGATTTATATCTCTTCTGTTGATGATAAAGTGCAGATAGAGAATGAACTTGCTCATTCCCGATTCCAGGCTTCCTGGAGACATAATCATTAGCCAGCTTGGGTCAGGTATCCACTTTTGGTCCAGCTGGGCAGTAGTGGGGGTCGTAGGACACAAAATCAGGGCTTCTGGGGAGCCCACCTTATGTGTATAAGTCCCCCAAAAGGGTCTTGAGAGCTAGGCAGATATCCTTTATATTAATATCATTTTAATTCACATGATAACTTTATGAGGCAGATATAATTTCCTCATTTTGTAAGTGAGTAAACTGTGGCTGAGAAAGGTTAGGAAACTTGCCTAAAGTCACACATCTAACAAATGGTGAAGCCAAGATATGTATCTAGGAATGCCTCATACTTCTAAGATCTACATATTCTTATTTTATTTTATAATTTACCTTGAGCTACTTGACCTGCTTTCTTTTTAAAGCATATAAAATATAAATGATAGCTCAATGAATTTTCACAAAACTCTACTTCTCATGTAACCACCAGAAAAAGAAATAGAATAATGCTGGCAGCTCCCAAACCTCCGTGCCCTTCCCACTCTCTGTCCTCTCACTCCCTATCAAAGTTAAACACTGTCCTAACTTTTATGGAATTTACTTTCTTGCTTTTCATTTTATATCACTTAAGTGTGTATCCCTAAACATTATGTTTTGATTCTTTTCCTAATACTATGTTTTTGGAATTCATTTATATTGTGTGCAGTTGTAGTTTGTTCAACTGTTGAAAACAACTGTTTTGAATTTTTAAAAATTGAGGTATAATTTATTTACATTAAAATCACCCTTTTTAGTATATAGTTCTAAGTTTTGGCAAATGTATACAGCTAGATAATCGCCTTGCTCATCCATCACCACAAGAAATTTCCTTATTCCCCTTTCTGCCCTTACTCATATCCCTGGAATCCACTGATCTCTTTTCTATTCCCATGGTTTTACCTTTTCTAAACTGTCATATAGATGGAATCATATTCCGTACCCTTTTAAGTCTGGCTTCTTGTATTAGCATAATGGATTTCAGGTTCATCCCTGTTGT